TTATTTATACATGGAAGCTAAAAATGTGGCTCTCATGGAGGTAGAAATTATTAACAGAATGGTGGTTACCAGAGGCTGGGAAGGGAAAAGGGAGGGGAGGATGAAGAGAAGTTAGCTAAGAAGGAATAAGTTCTAGTATTCAACAGTATAGTAGGAAAAGTATAGTTAATAATTTATTGACTTTTTTTCTTTTGCTTTTACTTTTTTTTTAATTGACTATTTCCATATAGTTAGAAGAGAAAAATTTTCCCAACACAAAGAAAAGATAAATGTTTGGGGTAATGGGTATCCCAATTACCCTGATTTGATCATTATACATTGTATACATATACTCCCAAAATATGTATAACTAGTATATATCAATTTTTAAAAGATACCAAAAAAGTCCTCTTGACATAAAAACCCAGGACCCATACTATCTCCCTATAGTTGACAAATTTATTTTTCTTCATTCATTATGGATATAATATACATGGTTTCACCAGCCACATTTTACTCAAACAGTGTTTTTTGAATAGTTAATAGTTAATATTTTTGAATATAGTTTACATGATGTGTAATTTAAAAGGTTCAAAAGACACTGAAAAGTTTAACACCTGTGTTCCTCATTACCCATCTGCTTCCCAGAGGATCATCGTAATACTTTTTCTTTCTTTTTTTTTTTTAAAACAGAGTCTTGCTCTGTCACCCAGGCTGGAGTGCAATGGTGCAATCTTGGCTCACTGCAACCTCCGCCTCCCAGGTTCAAGCAATTCTCCTGCCTCAGCCTTCTGAGTAGCTGGAACTACAGGTGTGTACCACCACACCCGGCTAATTTTTCTATTTTTAGTAGAGACGGGGTTTCACCATATTGTCCAGGCTGTTCTTGTGCTTGACTTCATGATTTGCCTGCCTCAGCCTTCCAAAGTGCTGGGATTACAAGTGTGAGTCAACGTGCCCAGCCATTATACTTTTCTTATAGATCCTTCACTGATACCTTAGACATATACAATTTAAAAAATGCATATGTTCCCCTATTTTCCTCATATAGCTACAATATGCACTGTTGTGTATTTTGCTTTCTTTTCTTGGCACAGCATAGCAATCATTTCTATTACATAGAAAGCATCTTCTGTTTTTGTTTTATGTTAAATGGTTTCAGAGTTTTCTATTATATGGAATACCATTATATTATCATTTCTCTATTTATGGACTTTTAGGTTGTCGCCAATCTTCAGCTACTACAAACAACACTGCAATAAATGCCTTTGTACATGTAATTTCATCTGTGTGCATGTAGTTCTGTTATATATTCTTAGAAGTGCAACATCAAGGAATTTGTAAATTTTATGGATATCACCAAATTGTCCTCCACAGAAATTATATAAAATTAATCTATCACCAATAATACATATGAGTGACTATCTAACCATACCATTACTAACCCAACATATTAAAACCTTTATGAGCTCTGTCCATCTGATAATTAAAAACAATACCTCAACATACTTTGATTTTGCATTTCCCATTATGAGTAAAACGGAATTCTGTTTCACGTTTATAAGAGCCATTTCTTTTTCCTTTCCTATGGATTATCTGTTGTTGTTTTTAAAGAGACAGGGTCTCCCTTTGTTGCCCAGGCAGGAGTGCAATGGGGCAATCATAGCTCACTGCAGTCTCAAAGTCCTGGGTTCAAGCCATCCTCCCACCTCAGCCTATTGAGTAGCCAGGACCACAGGCATGTGTCATTCAACTGGCTATTTTTATTTTTATTTTATTTGCTTATATTTGAGGCAGGGTCTTATTCTGTTGCCCAGATTGGAGTGCAGTGGCATGATCATGGCCCACTGCAGCCTCAACATCCAGAGCTCAAATGATCCTCCCACCTCAGTGTCCCAAGTAGCTGGGACTACACGCACATGCCAGCATACCCAACTAATTTTTGAATTTTTTTTTTTTGTGGTAGAGATGGGGTCTCATCATGGTGCCCAGGATGGTCTTGAGCTCCTGAGCTCAAGTGATTCTCCTGCTTCAGCCCCCCAAAGTGCTGGGACTACAGGTGTGAGCCACCACACTCAGTCTGAATTATCTATTTATAATCATTTTTATTATGGGTTACTTGACAGTTTTTTATTGATAGGAGTTCTTTACATAATAGGAAATTAGCTCTCTGTGATAAGATGTGATAGATATTTCTGTCGCTGTCTCTCAACTCTGCTTATGGGCTTTTGTTTTTGGCCGTGTAAAATGTTCTTATTTTTGTATAGTTAAATTTATTAGTGTTTTCTTTTATGAGTTCTAGGTTTGAAGCCTGTTAGAAAGGTCTTTTCCAGGCCGGTTGTAGTGACTCATACATGTAATCTTAGCACTTTGGGAGGCGGAGGCGGGCAGATCACCTGAGGTCAGGAGTTTCAGACCAGCCTGGCCAACATGGAGAAATCCTGTCTCTACTAAAAATGCAAAAGTTAGCCTGGTATGGTGGCAGGCGCCTGTAGTCCCAGCTACTCTACTCAGGAGGCTGAGGCAGGAGAATCACTTGAGATTAGGGGGCAGAGGTTGCAGTGAGCCAGGATCAACACAGAGCACTGTACTCTAGCCTGAGCGACAAAAGAAGACTCCATCACAAAAAAAAAAAAAAAAAAAAGAGAGAGAAAGTCCTTTTCCAATTCAAGATTGTAAAACTCTCCCTTGTTTTTCTCTTGTTTTAATCTCATTTTAAAAAATATTTAAATCTTCAATCCTTTTCAAATATTTCCTAGTTGTAAGGCATGAAAACAACCTGTTTTTTCTATAGACTGCTAAACAGTAGTTCTCAATTTCCATTAAATAAATAATCCATTCTTTTCTTCACCATGTACTTGAGAAGCAATCATTGCAACTATTATACAAAATTCCCATAGTGACCGTATCTGGGTTTTCTCTTCTTTTTCATTCATTTTTCTGTTTATGTATCACTACCTCTCTGCTTTAATTATGGTCACTTTATAATCTATTTTGAAGTGCTCTTTAAAATGGAGTTTCTCTTCATTACTTTGCTTTTTCAGAATTTTCCTGCTTCATATCTCCCTTCTTAAATGTGAATTTTAGAATTAACTCATCTAATTAAAAAAAAAAAAAAAAAAAAGAGAGGCCAAATGTGGTGGCTCATGCTTGTAATCCCAGCACTTTGGGAGGCCAAGGTGGGTGGATCACCTGAGGTCAGGAGGTCAAGACCAGCCTGGCCAACATGGCAAAACCCCGTCTCTACTAAAAATACAAAAATTAGCTGGGCATGGTGGGAGGCACCTATAATCCCAGCTAGTTGGGAGGCTGAGACAGGAGAATCACTTGAACCCAGAAGGTGGAGGCTGCAGTGAGCTGAGATTATGCCACTGCACTCCAGCCCGGGCGACAAAGCAAGGCTGTCTCAACAACAATGACGACAGACCTGTTAACAGTTTTATTGGGACTGATTTCAACTTATAGACTAATTTAGGATGTTGAGTCTTCTTTTCCAAGATCCTGCATGTCTTTACATTTGTTCATATGTATCTTGCACATTTCCTGTTAAGTTCCTTACTGGTAGTTTATTTTTCTTTGTTTCTTCCTTTTTATCTTCCAACCGGATGAAGTTTCACCAACTGATTTTTAAAATTAAGATATTATTGTATAAATAATTTGTATTATACCTGGACTTCCTCAAAGAAAGGAAAACCACATACTTCATTGAAAAAATACTTCAACTATTAATTAACCTTGATGAATTAAAGGACTATAAGAGTGAATATGCTATGGTAAGAGAATAGGAGATAAATTAACAAGAGAAATATTATAATGACACTCAAACAAACTACAGAATTATGACAAAACAGTAAAATAATGAACAATATCCCACTCTGATGGACAATAATTAGAAATAGTTAATTAGAAATAATTTGCTCAAACATGCAAAATGATAGCAAAAAGCCCCAAGATAGCCTACTGTAATTACCAAAGGCCATAAATTATGAGTATGAAATACACTAAATAACATACCAAATTTTAATTATAACAAATATTAAAAACATCATCAGCAAGGTCATCTTTTAATACCAAAAAAAATTGGCAGTTTAATTAAAAATTATCCTTCTATTTCATCACCATCAAAAGAGATCATTAATCTAAATTCCATTTCTATTTGTCCAAGTCACTTTATATTTACAGACCTTCCTTGAACTTTCCCACCATTTAAAATGAAAAAGTCTTACACATACTTTTTACCAGGCAGAGAGACATAATGTGAGAACTAATGATCTAATTCTTCTTCTAACATATTTCCAATTTTCACTCAAAAGTAATATAAGGTTTTCCAATGTGTTACCAGGATAACAATGGAAAAGGAAAAAATCATTTCACACAAAGAGTAATTCTCAGAAAGTAATGTATTAGATAGATTAACTTGTTTTCTACTTTTATATAAAGTAAAATAGACACGTCTGGGAAGGCTCCTGAGGTGATAAAGGATTTCACAAAAGATAACCAAAATGTAAATGGAACTTTACAGCATCCTTAAATACTTTTTAGGACATTCTTAAATATTTTTTGGAATATTGAGGGACACAAGTAATGTAAAACAAAAAAAATTATGTTCAAAGCCTGTGATCCTAACAAAATAAAATTGTGCATTTAATTTAATATGCATAAGTATAAACAGCATCTACATTAAAGTTGGTTTACAGGATGTATTTAACACATAATCAATTATTCCGAAAAGTTATGTTTTGGTACTAGTCGTTTTAAAGATTAAAAAAATCAATGGAGTAATGATACTAATCACTATTATTTATTGATTTTATTTTTAAATTCTTTTTTAGAGGAAGGGTCTCACTGTGTTGCCCAGGCTGAAGTGCAGTGACTATTCACAGGTGTAATCACAGAATACTACAGCCTTACACTCCTGGCCTCAAGTGAATGCCCCATCTTAGCCTTCCAAGTAATTGGGATTATAAGTACATGCACTGCTCCTGGCTTGATTTCATTTTAAACAAAAACATTATTTTTACCTCCGTGGTTTTCCCATAAGCCGCCTGATTTTTCCCCATTCTACTCTTGTTAACTTTCTTGTTTTCAAATTAGGAAAAGATTCCTTCAGACATACACAGAAGTCATTATCACCTTCAAAAAGTGGTCTGTAAAACAGAAATAGTATTTTAATGGTTACATACAATGTGTTAATTTCTTAAAACACATAAAACAACAAAATGCTAAACTTTCACTTCTACCCCATACACACACACACACACACACACACACACACACACACACACACGAAATAAGCACAAATTCAAAGTGCTAAAATGAAATCCTTGGCATTTGTGAAACATCTAGTGTGGTGTGAAAGTTGCTCAGGAAATATTATTTGTGCTGTGATTCCAAGAGACACTGATTTTTGCTCAATCTCTTATACAGAGAGGCTATCCTGGCCCTGGCCTCATATCAGGTGAAGATAAACAAAGTTAGCTACAAATTATCTTTGTCCCAAAGGAATACCATCACCAAGGAGTCCTCTTTCAAATTAAACCAGTATTGGGACACTGGAGGACTCTAGAGGGCTAGATTAGCTCGGGGGATCCCAGAAGAACTCAGATCACACTGAGACATCAGGAAAGCTCTCTTATGCCTATGGACAAAAATAAAATAATTTTATTCATAAGTCTGCGAAACCAGGAACCAGTGTTGGCAATGATACATAAATGCCTTGGGCTCAAATACAAACATTCATTAGATTCACAAGCTCCAGAGTAGGCAACTGGTATGGAAAACAGAGAAGGGGAGTAAACATAAATATCCAGCAAAGCAAGCAGCAATGACTGCCATATGAGGAAGGATTATAAATAAGAATTTTTCTTCAGTAAATTCCACTGACGAATGATTGTATTTCAGCCAAATCTCATACTATGTTATACTTAAGCATATGTGTATACCTAACATGCGTACGTACCATATCCAAACTAGAAAGACTACCTTCCTAAAAATCTTAAGCCATTTTTTACCATTAATAATGGTTATTCTATGATATACCAGCACTTAACTTCTCAATTATAAAATGAATCTCATTCACTGCAAATAATGTTATTTTAAGGTATCTCTACTCCATAGTCTTTAACAATTATAACACCGAAATTATACTCCAATTAATTCTTCACAAAAATGTATACTTTTCTTCCCCAAAAATGATTAACAGGGAAGAAAACTGTGACAAACAGAATAGATCCAACTGGAAGGCAGAATAGAAAAATAAATTCAGGAAAAAATAAGATCAAAATAGACCTTTAGAAAATGTTGTAGCTTAAAACACTTGAAAAACTTAAATTTTGATTCAAGTAATATTCATGATATAAGCCATGATACATACTTATCTATATTTGAATAGAACCACTCGTATATACACCATTTATGTGCTTTGGGAAGCTTGAGCAGATTACGTAATCGAAAACCAATCTTCTGTGAAGCTTTCTTATCTGGTGTTGACATTGTTGCTGTAAATTTCTATACAATAAAAAAAAGATTAATTTATAGCTCCATTAAGTAAAAATGAACATTTACAATACTGAATAAATTTGCAAAAGGTAAATTATGTGTAAGTACTCAAAGAGATTCAACAATATTCAACATGGAATTTTTGTTGCTGTTTTAAACACTGAATGTTTCTTACAAAGTTAAAGCCTCAGTTTCATAACATATTCTGACAAGGAAAGTGAAATGTTTGTCCCTCCATGTTTGAACTGCAATACAATTCCAATTTTGGCATATAGGAGCAAGGGGTTTGTATGAAATATTCCTAGATTTCACAAGACAGTAAAGACCAGTAAGAAGAACTCTGCTATAAGAGATAGAGAGACAGGCTGGGCTCGGTGGCTCACGCCTGTAATATCTCAGGACTTTGGGAGGCTGAGGCAGGTGGATCACTTGAGTTCAGGAGATTGAGAACAGTCTGGCCAACATGGCAAAACCCCAACTCTACCAAAAATACAAAAATTAGCCAGGTGTGGTGGCATACAGCTGTAATCCCAGCTACTCGGAAGGCTGAGGCATGGGAATCGCTTGAATCTGGGAGGCAGAAGTTGCAGTGAGTCCAAGATCACACCACTTAACTTCAGCCTGGGTGACAGAGTAAGATCCTGCCACAAAAAAGAGAAAAAAAGAGATAGACGCACACACAGACACGTGCACGCGCGTGCATGAACACAGAGAGAGACAGAAATAAAACACTAGGTCCAGGTTTCATCACTGAATTCTGTAACAAGTAAGAGAACTTCAATGCTATTTAAATGTTTCAGATTACTGAAGGGAAAAAACCTTCCCAACTTTATTTTTTTAGACGGAGTCACACTGTGTCAACCAGGCTGAAGTGCAGTGGTGTGATCTGCAATCTCCACCTCCCAGGTTCAAGCAATTCTCTTGCCTCCTTGCCTCAGCCTCCCAAGTACCTGGGATTATAGGAATGTGCCACCAAATCTAGCTAATTTTTGTATTTTTAGTAGAGATGGGGTTTCACCATGTTGGCCAGGCTGGTCTCAAACTCCTGACCTCAAGTGATCTGCCCACTTCAGCCTTCTGAAGCGCTGGCATTACAGCCAGCATAACAGATAACATCTGCCAAAATATAATGAAAGAAAACTTCAGAAAATGTCACTCATGTGTATGGACTTTCAAAATCCCTTTTTTAAAAAAGAAACAGATAATCAACATCAGAATATCAAAAGAATACAACACAATCCAGTGGAATTCAAGAATCCAAGCATATGGATGGGCACAATGGCTCAGGCTTATGTAATCCCAGCACTTTGAGAATCCAAGTAGGGAAGACTGTTTGAGCCCAGGAGTTCAAGATCAGGCCGAGCAATGTAGTGAGATCTTGTCTCTACTAAAAATAAAAAAAATTAGTCAGGCATGGTGGCATGCGGCCTATAGTCCCAGCTACTCCAAGAAGTTCAGGCGCAGGTGGGAGAATCACGTGAGCCTGGGAAGTCACAGCTGCAGTGAGCTGTAATCACGTGCACCACTGCACACCAGCCTGGGCAAAGAGCAGGATCTTGTCTCAAAAAAAAGTAAGTATGATCCTGTAATAAGAAACTATTAATATAATATGCCATTATTAATAAATCAAAATAAGAAAAGTTCTATGATGTTAAAGGCATATGAACAATATCTATTAAAAAACATTCTTGTAGTGGCATGTGCCTGTAGTCTCAGCTACTCGGGAGGCTGAGACAGGAAGATCACTTGAGCCCAGGAGTTCAAGGCTGCAGTGAGCTATGATCGTACTCTGCACTCCAGCCTGGGTGACAAAGTGAGACCTTGTGTCTTAAAAAAAAAAAAAAAAAAAAAAAAAAATAAAAAAAAAAAAAAAAAAAAAAAAAAAAAAAAAATTATCAGAACAAAAATAGAAATGGAGGCACAACATACCAAAAATTAAATGATACAGTAGACATAGTGCTTGGAAAAAATTTTAATTTATAAACTTCAATTTTAAGTCTAACCTATATTCTAAAAGAAAAATATCAAATTAATAATCCATCCTTCTACCTTAAAAAACTAGAAAAAGAGCAGAGTAAACACAAAGCAAGCAGAAAAAAAAGGAATTTAGAAGAATAATAAATAAGATAAAATGTAGAAAAAAATAAGTGAATCAAAAAATTCTTTGAAAAGAATAACAAAATTGAAAAGCCTTTAGCTACACTGATCAAGAAAACAAATGGATACTTTTTTAACCTAATAAAAATTTCTCCCCACTCCAGCCCAAAAACCAGTATCGGTATTAAAAGACAATGAGAATGACAAAGGTTCCAACTGCTACCACTAACTTAGTATGACAAAGATTTCAATTACCACCACTATTTCATAACACTGTTTGGAAGAAGTTGGCCAATCAGGTAAGAAAAATAAAATTTATTTCATTACTTTTTTCAAGACCAGCCTGGCCAACATGGCGAGATGGAGTTTCACCATGTTGGCCAGGCTGGTCTTGAAAGAAAGAAGATCAAACTATCATTTCCTGGTAGGTGAAAACACAAGAAAATCAACTGTAACCATTAAAAACAGTAAGAAAATTTAATGAAATGGGTAAATATAAAGTTGATATACAAAAATCAAGATTTTAAAAAATCACTATCTTTTCTATATGTAAATAATAACTGGTTAGGCCATAAAAGAGAATATCCTATTTATAATAGCAAAAAAAAAAAAAAAAGACATAAAAAAATGAAATAACTACATTGTGGGGGAGCCAACAAAGTAAAAAAAAAAAAAATTAAATAACTAGGAATATACTTAAGAAACATAAGATTGACATGGAAAAAAATGTTTAAGTCTACTGTAGAATACTAAGAACTTGAGTAAGTGGAACTACAATCGGTTCTTAGGTAATCTCAATGTTGCCTATATGTCATTTCCCACAAATTAATTTATATTAGTGCAATCCCAGTCAAAATGCCAACAGGATATTTTTTCCTGGTCAATTCTAAAGTCGACATGGAAAAATAAATGCATAAGAATATTTAGGAAAAAGAAAGAATATGCATTAATGTCTTACCAGGCATGAAAACACACTATAAAATCATGTTAAAACAATTTTGTGTGTGTGTGTTTTGGTTTTGTTTGTTCTTTTGAGATAGGGTCTCTGTCACTTAGGCTGAAGTGCAGTGGTGCAAACATTGCTCACTGCAGCCTCTACTTCCTGGGCTCAAGCCATCCACCCACCTGAACCTCCCAAGTAGCTGGGACCGCAGGCATGTGCCACTACACCGAGCTAATTTATGTATTTTTTAATGGAGACAAGTTCTCACTATGTTGCCCAGGTTGGTCCTGAGCTCCTGGGCTCAAGCGATCTTCCTATCTCAACCACCTAAAGAGCTAAGAGTACAGGTGTGAGCTGCCATGCCCAGCCAAAATGATATGATACTAGCACATACAGAGATATGCTAGACAAAGAGATAGAAAGCCTAGAAGTAAACCAAATACATATACAAATTTAGGTTTGATAAAGGCAGCATTTTAAATCAATGTATAAAAAGATGGATTACCCAATAAATGTTACTAGGATAACTAAGTAGCCCTCTGGAACAAAGAAAAAAAAACAACTAGGTTGCAATCTTACCTCATCCCTTACTCCAAAATAAATTCCAGATGTACTGAAGATTTAAACCAAAAAAATGAAATAAGTAATATGAGAGAATTCTAAAACTATAAATTTTAGTGTAGAAAAGATCTTTCTGAGCATGACAAACTCAAGAAGTCATTTAAAAGGTAAGAAAGTTATATTTGACCCTTAAAATCGTTTAAAATCCTATGTCGAAAAATACAAAGTCAAAAAACAATCTATAAACTCTAAACAAAGAAACAAAAAAAGGCCATTATAAACCTCCAAAGGCCAACATTTTTAATATATATAAAATTCTTATAAACTAGGAACAAAATGACCCACAATCCAATAGAAAAATAGGAGAAAGACATAAACAGTTTACAGAAAAGAAATCATGTTTAAATATATGAAAAGTATCTCAACTTTGCTCTTGGATAAAATGCCAACTAAAACAAGTGAGAGGCTATTTCTATATATCAGATTAGCAAAAATCTGGATGCTTGGTTCTGTGCTGAATTGGAAGCATTTGGAAAACAGGGACTCTAACATATTGGTAGTAGGAAATATAAACCAGTACAATTTCTTTTTTTAATTTTTTTAAGTTTAAAAATTTTTTTATTTTACTTTTTCTTGAGATAGAGTCTTCACTCTGTCACCCAGGCTGGAGTACAGTGGCGCAATCTCAGTTCCCTGAAACCTCCGCCTCCCAGGTTCAAGCGATTCTTCGGCCTCAGCAGTCCTGAGTAGCTGGCACTACAGGCATGTGCCACCATGAGCAGCTAATTTTTTTTTTTTTTTTTGTATTATTAGTAGAGATGGTGTTTCACCATATTGGTCAGGCTGGTCTCAAACTTCTGACCTCGTGATCTACCCGCCTCAGCTTCCCAAAGTGCTGGGAATACAGGTGTGAGCCACCGCACCCGGCCATTTTTAAATTTTTTTAATACAGCCTCTTGCTCTGTCACCCAGGCTGGAGTGCAGTGGTGTGATCAAGGCTCATTGCAGCTTTTGCCTCCCAGGTTCAAGCTATTCTCATGCCTTAGCCTCCTGAGTAGCTGGGACTACCGGTGCCTGCCACCACACCTGGCTAATTTTTCCATTTTTAGTAGAGACGGGGTTTCGCCATGTTGGCTAGGCTGGTCTTGAATTCCTGACTTCAGGTGATCCAACTGCCTCAGCCTCCCAAAGTGCTGGGATTACAGGCATGAGCCAGCGTGTCCTGCCCCATTGCAATTTATTTGGAGAATATTTGGTACTGATTTAAAAACTTTAAATGTGCATATTCTATGAACCAGCAATTCCACATCTTAGGCATCTGTCCTAGAAAAACACTTGCAAATTTATATAAACATGCTCAGAATGTTCACTGCAGCATTAGTTGTAAAAGTAAAAACTTACAATTTAAATGCTCCCAAATGGGAGAATTTATAAATAATGATATAAAATTCAATATTATTCAACAGTAAAAAGAAATGAAACATTGAATCCTTCCTATCTATCTATCTATCTATCTATATCAATCAACATGGCCCTTCTTATTCACATTTAAATATTTTATTCAATCTAAAAAGATAGTGAAGGATCAATTCATATATCTAACAATATGAAGACTCAAGTTCATGAAAAAATTACGGAATGACACATGGCACAATACCATGAAAACATTACAAATGTAATTTTTAGTACACATTTAGAAAAAGAAAAAACATATATACATTAAACAATATTATTTTCTACGAATACATTAAAAGTATATTTAAAAGGTCTCAAAAGGATAATCTCAAAATAATAATCAAACTAATTATTATTGTGGTTATTACTCTATGAGGAAAGTACATATTGGGATGGTGAGTTAGGGTCAAAATTTCAAAATTTTTTTATTATAAACTTTATATTTTGGAAAAATTGTAGATTTACAGGCAAGTTGCAAAGATAGTACATATTCCCATATGCCCTTCACCTAGCTTTCCCTACCATTAATATCTTAACAATAACTATGGTATTTGCCAAAACTGGTGCAATACTATCAATTAAACAACAGACTTTATTTGGATTTCACCAGTTTTTCACTAACATCCTTTTTCTGTTCCAGAAACCAATTCAGGATATCACACTGCATTTAGAAAAATAACTGTTTTTCTTTGTTTTCCCTCAGTGACCATTCTCAGGAGGAAAAAAAAAAAATTTTAATGTTAAAAGAAAAATTTTATAAGTGAGGAGATATTTAGCATAAATAACCAAATAACTATAAAATACTCTTATCACAAAAAGTGTTATTTCTTGCTACTACATTATTATTTCTTGAGATACAGTCTTGCTCTGTTGCCCAGGCTGGAGTGCAATGGTGGGATTTCAGCTCACTGCAACCTCCCCACCCCAGTTCAAGCTATTCTCCTGCCTCAGCCTCCTGAGAGTAGCTAGGAGTACAGGTGAGCAACACCATGCCCGGCTAATTTTTGTATTATTAGTAGAGAGGAGGTTTCACCATAATGGCCAGGCTGGTCTTGAACTCCTGACCTCATGATCTACCCGCCTTGGCCTCCCAAAGTGCTGGGATTACAGGTGTGAGCCACCACATCCAGCCTCTACTACATTATTGACCCAGATTCTTAAATAGGGTATTGGCAGCTCATTGAATATAAAACTATATTAAAGACTCCTCTGCTGGGTATGGGAAAATAGATTCAAATTGTTAGAGGGAATCTTTTATTGATTGATTGAGACAGGGTCTCACTCTGTCACCCAGGTTGGAGTGTAGTGACACAATTTTGGCTCACTGAAACCTCTACCTCTCAGATTCAAGCAATTCTCCTGTCTCAGCTTCCTGAGTAGCAGGGACTACAGCATGTGCCACCACATCCAGCTAATTCTTGTATTTTTGGTAGAGTTGGGGTTTCACCATGTTGGCCAGGTTGGTCTGGAACTCCTGAGCTCAAGTCAGCCACTTGCCTTACCCTCCCTAAGTGCTAGGATTATAGATATGCGCCACTGCACCAGACCAGAAATATAAATTATTAAAACTGACAGAGTCTCTGTTCTGTTGCCCAGGCTGTAATGCAGTGGCCTGATCACAGCTCACTATAGTCTCGATCTCCTGGGCTCAAGTGATCCTCCCAGTTTAGCCTCCCAAATAGCTGGTACCACAGGTGCGCATCGCCATGCCTGGCTAAATAGATTTAAAAAAATTTTGTAGAGACAGGATCTCACTTTGTTGCCCAAGCTCATCTCAAACTCCTGTGCTCAAGCAATCCTCCCACCTTGACCTCCCAAAATGAGCCACTGTGCCCAGCCAAATTGAAAGCTTTAAACAGATGATTTGTATATGTAAAGTATATCTCAACAAAGCTGTTTTTTTTTTCTTTTTAAAGTAGGACTCTGGAGACAGGCTGCCTGTTAGTAGCCTTTAGTTCCTAGCTTTGACGTCTTGAGCAAGATACTTATCTGTGTCTGTTTTCTCATCTACAAAATGGGAAATAATGTAACAGTAATCTATCTCATAGGAGTTGATGAAGATTAATCAAAGTAATATATATGAAGTGTTTAGAACAGGACTCAACACATAATAAATACTCAATGAAAGTTCGTTTTTGTAATTTTTCAGCTCTGGGTGATGTTCTTTAAATAAACATACAGACAAAATCCAACAGATTTAGAAGACATGACTAGGAGGGTAAGGGAACAAGCCATGTCAGGTAAATGAAGATGGAAAGAACTAGAGATGCTACAACTGGTAAAGAGAAAACTCAGAGGATATAAAAACTTTTCTCATATTTCAGGAAGTCTCATATCATGTTTATCCTACATTATATTTGGTCTGAATTGCTCAGAATTCTCTGTATGGCTAAAAAGGACTCTGTAAAATAGTCCCAGAAGAAGTGATGTGCCCAGGAAGGCAGTGGATAGAGTTGGGACAGGACAGTGTCACAGTCATAAAGATCAGTTTTCTGTATGTTTGTGAATCATCTAGATTATCCTAGTAACATAGCTCTTCCAAAGTCTAGCTAACAAAATTGTTATTTAACTATTTCTTATATTCATTCAACCTTGTATTCAACAGCTAACTTGGCCAAGAAATACACATTGCATTTTGGTTTCAACAAGATCAAATTACTATTATCCTTTAATTTAATTAATTTATTTTTTGAGACAGAGTCTTGTTCTGTCACCCATGCTAAAGTGCACAGCCGTGATCCTAGCTCACTGCAACCTCTCCCTCCCAGGTTCAAGTGAGTAGCTGGGATTACAGGTGTATGCCGCCACGTCCAACTAATTTTTGTATTTACTATAGAAACAGCATTTTGCCATGTTGGCCAGACTGGTCTCAAACTCTTGACATCAAGTGATCTGCCTGCCTTGGCCTCCCAAAGTGCTGGGATTACAAGATCAAATTTTTAGATGCTCATGTGCACTTGTCTTTGACAACTTTTTTTTAAACTTCAAGATACATTTCTGTTCATTCTACAGAACATGAACATATTTTCCTGTTTAAAATTATCATAAGGCATGTAAGAGTTTTTATTGGTAGATTGCTGGTCATGCTTTTAGTTTATTTAATGCTAAATCCTTGAGTCGGGTGTGGTGGCTCATGCCTGTAATTCCAGCACTTTGGGAGGCTGAGGCAAGTGGAACACTTGAGGTCAGGAGTTCAAGACCAAGTTGGCCAACATGGCAAAACCCTGTCTCTACTAAAAACACAAAAATTAGCCAGGTGTGGTAGTGCATGCCTATAGTCCCAGCTACTCAGGAGGCTGAGGGACAAGAATCGCTTCAGTCTGGGAGGCGGAGGTTGCAGTGAGCCGAGATCATGTCATTGCGGTGCAGGGCGGGGGGGGAAATCTGGCCAGATGTAGTGGCTCACGCCCCCCAGCACTTTGGGAGGCCAAGGTGGGCAGATGACCTGAGGTCGGGAGTTAGAGACCAGCCTGCCAGCCTGACCAACATGGAAAAACCCTGTCTCTGCTAAAAATACAAAATTACCTGAGCATAGTGGCACATGCCTGTAATCCCAGCTACTCGGGAGGCTGAGGCAGGAAAATCACTTGAACCTGGGAGGCGGAGACTGCAGTGAGCTGAGGGTGCACTATTGCACTCCAGCCTGGGCAATAAGAGTGAAACTCCATCTCAAAAAGAAAAAAAAAACACAACCTTGAGAAAATTACCTCTATCATCCATTATATTAGAAAATCTTGTTTTATAAGACTTTGAAAAATAATGAAAGAGAAGTAGAGAATGATTATATCAGAAGAGAAAAATTACATTACCCTTAAAGTTAGCATTTTCCTATCCAATTTTCATTCCTTTGATTTTTACAGGTCCACTACTTGTTTGTTTGTTTTTTTTGAGACAGTCTTGCTCTGTCACGCAGGCTGGAGTACAGTGCCATGATCTTGGCTCACTGCAACCTTCACCTCCTGGGTTCAAACGATTCTCATGCCTCAGCCTCCCAAGTAGCTGAAATTACAGGCATGTACCACCATGCCCAGATAGTTTTTTTTGTATTTTTAGTAGAGACAGGGCTTTGTACCATGTTGGCCGGGCTGGTCTTGAACTCCTGGCCTCAAGTGATGCACCCACAGTGGCTTCTCAAAGTGCTGAGATTATAGGCATAAGCCAATGTGCCCAGCCCCCTGTGAGTTTTTAAATGTCAAAAATAAATTAGGAGATAAGATTTCATGCTAAATATTTTCCTCTCAGCTGGGCTAGGTGGCTCCCACCTGTAATCCCAGTACTTTGGGAGGCTGTGGTGGGCAGACCACTTGAGCTCAGGAGTTCAAGACCAGCCTGGTCAACATGGTGAAACACCGTACCTACTAAAATACAGAAATCAGCTGGGCATGGTGCTGTGCGCCTGTAATCCCAGCTACTCAAGAGGCTGAGGCAGAAGAATTGCTTGAACCTGGGAGGCAGAGGTAGCAGTGAGCCGAGATCACGCCACTGCACCCCAGCCTGGGCGACAGAGCAAGACTCTGTCTCAAAAAAAAAATTTTCTCTCTTAGATAAAGGAAGTCTTCAACATACTTCTCTTGGTGACCAAGTAAAATATTTTTTTCCCTCTTATTTCTTCTGTGCAAACCTACAGATTGATTCCATGTTGTCAAATTCCTCTACTATCTCCATGCTTAAAATAAAAGTGTGCATTTGTGGGACTGATAGCTGGCTTTCTTTTCTATTCTGTTTTAAAGTTGATAAAAAAAAAATAACGGTTTTCTAGGTAACTAAAACAGGACCAGAGTAGCTGTACTGATTTAAAGAACTTGTTACTCAAAATGTAACAGAATATAAACTTTATTAGGTTGAGCATTTGCTTACTTCCTTTCCAATGAAACAAAATTTTAGCACACACATACCTGTGGAACCATTGCAACCCTCTGGTTTCTTTTAGGTGACCTTGTATTTATTTGCCTATCATCTTCATCAGAAAAAAGTCGACTTCGTTTTGAATTTCTGAAAGGCTATGATAGAAATGTTTTCATTTAATGAAAAACTGAACCCTCCCACTTTTGTTCCAAAATACAGTTCTATACTTGGAAAACTGAGCTAACTCTGGATTATCAGCAGTATGGAAGGATAAAGTATGGGCAATGCAAAGCACACAAAGCCAAATATAAATAATCTCAGATTTAGAAAGCAGTAAGAGGTATTTATGCAAGTTGCTTATGAATGAAATACCTAGCTGATAAATAAAGTAAAACTTGAACCCCAAGTCTCCTTAGTACACTGGCAGCCTTGGACAGTGATGATAGGAAAATAAGTTCTGTAAATTCCAGTTCAAATTATGTTGGTGCTTGGGTTAATACCAACTGGGTGTGTGACATGATACATCTGCTGCATAGGGTTGGGCTAGGCCAAAGATTCTAAATCACTCTAGAAGAGTAAGCCTAAATATGTATACTATTATACTAGATCTGCTGACAAAAATTGTTAACCAAATTTTCATCTTTAAATAAGAATACAAGATACGTAATGATAGATATCTGACAATTACCCACAGAACTAGAAAAATTGTTTAAGTATCAAATATACGTCATACACTTAAGGGTCTGTAGTAGGAAAAATCTTACAGTTCACCCTGGGTTCAGAGGTTTCATTAATAGAAACAGAAATAATAGCTAAGATCCACATCCTTTTCAAAGCCTTCTCCCATCACTCATGCCTATTTGGAAGAGAAACAGGTACAGAGGGCTAACAACATATGGGCAGCATCCACTCAGGTATATGAACTCTTGAAATTAAATCCACTCTGGCTGGGCACAGTGGCTCATGCCTATAATCCCAGCACCTTGGAAGACCGAGGCAGGAACATCACTTGAGCCCAGGTACCAGCCTGGGCAACATGAGACCCCAACTCTACAAAAAAATTTTAAAAATTAGCCGGACATGGTGGCACACACCTGTAGTTCCAGCTACTTGGGAGGCTGAGTGGGGAGGATCACTTGAGCCTGGAAGTTCCTGACCAGCCTGGGCGACAGAGCGAGACCTCATTTCAGAAAAAGAAAAACAAAAAGAAATTAAACCCACTCAGTCTTGATACTCTAAACATGAAGCCCTGACATCAAGTCCGTTCTACACTGCCCTCCTTCTCTGACCACAAGCAGAGAAGAGGAAGGGAATGAAGATGATGGAATTACATAGTAAGGAAAGCCCCTCACATTCACTGTGGTCAGTTGCCCAGGCTACAGTGACTGCTGCTGTCTATCCCAACTCCAGGACTGTTTCATGACAGACCCTTAAAACCTCCTGGCTACTTGGCAGAGCAGGAGAGAAAAAGAGTTCCTAAAACTGTTAGTCATGTCAATTATATGCTCATCTCTACTTCCCACTTCTAAATGCACTTACCTTTGACCTACACAAAGATTTTTTTTTTCTTTTTGGCTACGCTATACAAGATTTTGATACCTTACTACTTTGATACTTTGCAGGTAGCAAAGCCATGTAAAATTTTTTGCATATCTAATAAAAATATAAGTTGTAGTTTTTTTTTTCCTAATTAAAGAAACTATTATACAATTATTGAACAAATGCTTAATGATAACCAGATTATCACTGGCTACAGATTAATTTACCTAAATAAGATCAAATAGTGCCTAATGACACTTGAGGTTGGGAAAAAAGCTTATAAATTTTTTACTGTGCTGCAAGAATTTACACATATGACAGTAATACAGACAACTTAGCTATAATTATTCTAAAGTGTAAGAAAAACTCACTCCTTACCATTTCCACAGCAGGGCTTGTATTCCTGCCTTTCCAAACAGGTGTTTTCTGTAAAGAACTGTACTTTTCATTCCATGTGTTAGATAAGCTTCCCTCTGTAATAAATAATACTAATAAAATTTTGGCTGAGTTCCAAGGATTTCATACTATGAATACTCTTTTTAATAATAGCCATATATCTAAAATATTTACCAATATGAAAAAAATATACTGACCATAATAACTTTAGTCTACTATAAATGAAAAAGTGCTTCTTTATATTTTTCTTTCAAACGCTCTAAATAATTTGATAAAGCAATGCATCTTGAAAGTATTAAATGTCCATGCTGAAACATGTAATTCTTTTTCTTTCTTTTTGGATTTTTAATAATTTCTCCATTTCAATTTGCCAAGAATGATCTCATAATTTTTGGTACAATTCTGAAAGCACGGGAATAAAAAATGGAAAAAGCCCTTTCTAACCTTGAATTTAGAGCATTTTTTTTTTCTGTGAGACAGAGTACTTGCTCCATCACTCAGGCTGGAGTAGAGTAGCACAATCTTGGCTCACTGCTATTTCTGCCTCCTGGTTTCGAGCAGTTCTCCTGCCTCGGCCTCCTCAATAGAGGAATTACAGGTGTGTGCCATCATGCCTGGTTAATTTTTGTATTTTTAGTAGGGACAGGGTTTCTTCATGTTGGTCAGATTGGTCTGGAACTCCTGACCGCAAGTGATTCTTGCCTCAGCCTCCCAAAGTGCTGAGTTCACAGGAATGATTCACAATGCTGGGCCTGTATTTAGGGCATATTTCTAAATGTTTTCTGCTTTAATATATGAAACATTTGATATAAAAAAGAAAATTAGGCAAGGTGCAATGGCTCATGCCTATAATCCCAACACTTTGAGGCTGAGGTGGACGGATCATTTGAGGCCAGGAGTTGGAGATCAGCCTGGCCAACATGGTGAAACCCCATCTCTACAAAAAATACAAAAATTAGCCAGGCATGGTGATGCACACCTGTAGTCCCAGCTACTTAGGAGGCTGAGGCATGAAAATGGATTGATCCAGGAGCTGGAGGTTGCAGTGAGCCAGGATATTGCGCCACTGCACTCCAGCCTGAATGACAGAGGGAGACTCAGTCTCCAAAAAAAAAAGAGAGAGAGAGAGAAATGAGTTTAATATTGGGAGAAACAGAATAATGGAATACTTTTTAAGGATCACAAAAGAACAGAGAGGAGATGGAGTTGATCCTGCTAGGCAAAGAAACTGAGGCATTCTGGAAGACAAGTGGTCTTCTCAAGCAAGAAGGATTTAATTTGGTAAATCACAAATCCAAAGTACAACACAGTAGCTCTGAAGACCAAAAGTACTCATAAACCTTTGAGAATATTTAGCTTGGTTCCAAATGTATTTACCTACCAGAATCTTAAACAAGAGGTAAAATTTTAAAGAGACTATGTTAAAAGGGTTAGTCTCATGTACCTGCCAAAAGAAACAGTGAGACCAAGGAACATGTCAAACTTTTTCTTAGAATCATCCTTTTATTTTAAGGCATCATACTTAGAGAGCAATGTTTTTTGTTTGTTTGTTTGTTTCGTTTTTTGAGACAGAGTCTCACTCTGTCAACCAGGCTGGAATGCAGTGGTGCGATCTAGGCTCACAGCAACCTCTGCCTCCCAGCTTCAAGCAATTCTCCTTCCTCGGCCTCTCACGTAGCTGGGATTACAAGAGCCTGCCACCACTCCTGGCTAATTTTTGTATTTTTAGTACAGATGGGGTTTCACCATGTTAGCCAGCCTGGTCTCGAACTCCTGAGCTCAAGTAGTCCACCCACCTCAGCTTCCCAAAGTGCTGAGATTACAGGCATGAGCCACCGTGCCTGGAGAAAGGAAAATTCTTAAAAATAAACTATTATGGGCCAGGTGTGGTGGCTCACAACCGTAATTCCAGTACTTTGCAAAGCCAAGGCAGCAGGATTCCTCGAGCCTAGGAGTTCAAGACCAGCCTGGGCAACAAAGTGAAACCTCTTCTCTACAAAAATATAAAGAAAATAGCTGGGCATGGTGGCATGTGCCTGTGGTCCCAGCTACATAAGATGCTGAGGCAGGAGGATCACTTGAGCCCAGGAGATCGAGGCTGCAGTGAACCATAATCACGTCACTGCACTCTAGCCTGGATGACAGATTGAGACCCTGTCTCAAAAAATAAAGAAAAATTCTTCTGGGCACAGTGGCTCACACCTGTAATTCCAGCACTTCGGGAGGCCACGGTGGGCAGATCACTTGAGACCAGGAGTTTAAGACCAGCCTGGCCAACATGGAGAAATCCCATCTTTACTAAAAATACAAAAATTAGCTAGACATGGTGGCACATGCTTGTAATCCCAGTTAATCAGGAGGCTTAGGCACAAGAATCACTTGAACCTGGGAGGCAGAGGTTGCAGTGCGCCAAGACTGCACCATTGTACTCCAGCCTGGGCGACAGAGAGAGACGATCTCAAAAAGAAACAAACAATTATGCAAACATATAGCTCAGCACAGTTGTTTAACAAATGCCTTTAATGTAAACAATATATTTATGGAATGTTTAATTAGAGTTTTTGAATCAATAATTTCAGAAATTTTTAAAAATAATTTCTAACAACCGAGGATCAATTCTCCTATAAAAGCATATTAACTTAAGGTTATCAGTAAAAACCAAGACTGAAAAGCTATAATGAATTATAACTTAGAAGGAAAATGGAAACACTATATCCAAATTAATTTAATAAAATAGACTTCTAGCTATGGTATATCTAAAAAATGCTATACTTACCTTTTAAACTGACAAGGGCTTTTGCTGAAGAGCCTGCAATTAAAAATAAAACATATTAATAATTATTTCATTTAAAAATGAGGGAAAAAGAACTTGGTTTGGGGGCAAAAGTGATCCATTTAGTTTTAATAATGTTCAGTTTGAAGAGATGATGGAATGCGCAATTAGAAATATCTAGCAGACAATTCAAACTATAGACCAGAACTCAGATAGAGTAATGAAAGAACTGGAGACAGACATATGAGAGTCTTGCTGAAGCTGTGAAAACTGGAGACCATTCCAGAAGAAGAAAGTGAAGAAAGAGGAAGAATGGGACAGAGGTAATTTTGGATCCTCATCCAAGCATGCTGTGGTGCTGGAAGAATGGAGAAAGGGCACTGATATCTATTGAGGCAAAGACTGATGTAGTAATGGACTGGAAAAACACAATGGAAATGATTCAGGGACTGTCAGAGTAAGCAATAAGTCCCTTGAAAGTCTGGAATGCAATACTTCAAGATCTAAGCTGGAGAGAGGAATACAGAACAGCCAAGATGGGCTAGAATAAAGTTGGAGGGGTCCACTGGATAAAACAAACTTTAGTGTACATTAGAGGTCAGGTGTGATGGCTGACACCTGTAATCCCAGTGCTTTGGAAGGCCAAGGTGGGAAGGATCGTTTGAGCCCAGGAGTCCGAGACCAGCCTGGGCAACACAGGGAGACTCTGACTCTTAAAAAATTTTCAAAATTCACTGGGCATCCTCCAGTCTCAGCTACTCAAGAGGCTGATGTGGGAGGCTTGCTAGAGCCTGGGAGGTTGAGGCTGCAGTGAGCTGTGACCACGCCACTGCACTCCAGCCTGGGAGACAGAGTAAGACTCTGTCTCAAAAAAATAAAAAATACAAAATAAATTAGAATAACCAGGAAGCTCCTCATACATGCACAATCTATACTGAATCTATATTATTAATAAATAACAGGGGATTCTATTGCAGGTAACCCACCTGGAGAAACATCAGGCTACAGGTTCTGGTATGAATGAATGATAGGATCTATGGGTAGGGAAAGCAGAAGAATCAATAGAGAAAGAAGTTTTTTGAGAGCAAGAAACCAGTAAATTTAAAAATCTCAGAATTGAATGTATACATTGCAAAGTCCAAGTCATCTGAAAAATAATAATTAAGGATGATCTCAGGGGATTAAATAAAAAAGAACATGAACTAGGAACAAAAATCAGACAGGACAGATTAATCCTCCTTGCTATTTAACAAAAGCAGCCATGATTTACATCTCATATAAATGGATAATAGACTTAAAATGAGAAGCAACAGATAAAGTATGGCAGTTATGAATCACTTCATCTCAGATCCTTAAACACTATGCATCTCAGATCACTAAACCTCAACTGACTTTTTCCTCCACAGGTCAGTATAAGAGACTTGTAAAACAGACACCTATTAACATTAAAGACACTTACTTTCACCCTACTCTCTTGCCTAGATGTGAAGAATAGTTAACAGGACACCATAACAGCTTCTGTACAGCAAATGAAGCTTAATGACAAAAGGCAGTAAAGTCATGGAGAGTGAATGACATAAAATCTTGCTAAAACGTCTCAAACAATGCAACACAACTGTAAAGCAGTAATAATAGACAATGCACACATCTGTGTACCAAGAGATATATAGTGCATTTGAGAAAAAGTAGTAACCATTCACTCGATGAATATGTAGAATGCTAATGGCATGCGTCCCTGCCTGATCTAGGCAATGGGGATGACAACAGCAAGCAAAACAGTCAAACTCCCTGCTCTCATGGAATGTACATTCTAGTGAGGAGAAACAAACAAAAACAGCTATTAAGTCACGATAAGCACTATGGAAAAAATAAAGCAGAATAAAAAGAATATGCAGGGTGGGAACGGGGAGAAGGAAGGCTATTCATATATAAGGCGTTCACATTTAGCTTCTATGAAAGGTGATACTTAAGCAGAGATCTGAAGGAAGACGTATAGGCCATAAGGATATCCATTCCTGCTCCATGAAGGCAGGAATCGTATCTTGGGGATTCTGATCAATCATCTTTAACCCTTTTTCCTTTTCTTTTTTGTTTTTGAGATGGAGTCACACTCTGTCACCCAGGTTGGAGTACAGTGGCACAATCTCGTTTCACTGCAACCTCCGCTTCCCGGGTTCAAGCAATTCTCCCTGCCTCAGCCTCCCAAGTAGCTATGACTACAGGTGTGCACCACTACACACAGCTAATTCTTGTATATTTAGTAGAGACAGGGTTTCGCCATGTTGGCCAGGCTGGTCTCAAACTCCTGACTTCAGTTGATCTACCTGGCTTGGCCTCCCAAAGTGCTGGGATTACAGGTATGAGCCACTGCACCCAGCCATTTTTCCCTTTTTCTAGATGCAGGATAGCATAGTGGTTAAGAGAATAGGTTCCAGATTGAGACTAGCTATGTTTGCATCTTGGTCCTGACACTTTCTTGCATGTTACCTTAAATAAGTTACTTTGTCTCTCTGTGCTACTGTTTCTTCGTTTGTAAAATGAAGATTAAATGAGTTAATATATATAAAAGTGCATAGAACAATGCACATATTACACAGTGACTTTTGATATAATGGTGTTAGTATTATTTCTTGAGCAATCAAAAAATAATAGGTTAATGGTGGTGGGGTCCCCCCCGCCCCATCCCATCTTTTAAAAATAATAATAATAGGTTAAGAACATGGATTTTTCAGTCAGGCAAATCTGATTAAATTAGAATCTTGCTCTAACAAGGAGTGTTTATTAATCCAAAGATTCTACCCTTTTGTAGTTCATAAGCATGATGATTGGGTTTTCATAATCATGTGTGAGATGTGCCTCCCTAAAACCTTGTTAAAAGTCAGCACATTAACCATGTGGAAAAAATTTTTATTGAATGCCTACCATAAGCTCTGTTAGGGGCTAGGGTTAGTTAACCCAAGAAACAAGACAGACAAAGCCTCTGCTTGCAGGGAACTTAAATTCTAGTAGGAAGAGGCATATATATGATAAACAAGTACATAATAATTACAGCTTATGGTAAAGAAAATAAACAAGGTGATATTGATGGGGGGGAATCATTCTGCTTTAAGTACTAACTGCTTTACTTTTGAGTACAGAAGGTTTCTTTTTGAGGGGTAACATCTTAAAAAATTAGCTGTGAGAGAGCAGGAAATCAAAGCAATGAGTCTGGGCAGAAGAAACAGTAGGTTAAGTCCTGAGAAGGGAGGAGGTGTGACTGCTTGCATAGGGAAGAATGGCAAGAAAGGTCAGAGGTACGCCAGGTGTTGTGCATGGAGCTGGGAATGCAATTAGGAAAACAGAAACCCTACCTGCTCTGATGGGGCTACTAACCAAACAATCACATAAAGAAATACAAAACTGAAACTGTAATAGCTGCCACTAAGAAGTTACACGGTAGTACAAAAAAAATTTAAAGAACATGGACCCTGGCCAGGCACGGTGGCACGTGCCTGTAGTCCCAGCTACTCAGGTGGCTGAGGTGGGAGGACTGCTTGAGCCCAGGAGTTCTGGCCTGTAGTGCGCTATGCCGATCAGGTGTCCGCACTAAATTCGGCATCAATATGGTGACCTCCCAGGAGCGGGGGACCACCAGGTTGCCTAAGGAAGGGTGAACCCGCCAAGGTCGGAAACGGGGCAGGTCAAAACTCCCGTGCTGGTCAGTAGTGGGATCGAGCCTGTGAATAGCCACTGCACTCCAGGCTGGGTAACATAGCAGGACCCTGTCTCAAAAAGGAAAAAAAAAAAACAGAAACAGAAGAAGAAGGGCCCTGCCCTGGCACAGTGGCTCACACCTGTAATCCCAGCACTTTAGGAGGCCGTATGAGTTAAGATCAGGAGTTCAAGACCAGCCTGGTTCTACTAAAAGTACAAAAATTAGCCAGACTTGGTGACACATGCCTGTAATCCCAGCTACTCAGTAGGCTGGGGCAGGAGAATTGCTTGAACCCTGGAGGCGGAGGTTGCAGTGAGCCAAGACTGCACCACTGCACTCCAGCCTGGGTGACAGAGAAAGACTCCATCTTTAAAAAAATAAAGAACATGAGCCCTGCATGGTGGCTGAAGCCTGTAATCCCAGCACTTTGGAAGGTCAAGGCAGGAGGATCGCTTGAGACCAGCAACATAGGGAGACCTCGTCTCTACAAAAAATAGGAAGAAGAAGAAAAAAAAAAAAACTTAGTTGGGCATGGTGGCACATGCCTGTGGTCCCAGCTACTGGGGAGACCGAGGTTGGAGGCTCTCCTGAGCTCAGAAGATCAAGGCTGCAATGAGCCATGATCATGCCTCTGCACTAGAGCCTGCACAACAAAGGGAGATCTTGCCTCTTCAAAAAACAGATTTAAAGAAGGCATAATTTAATCAAGGATGGGAAATGGCTCTCTGAAGAAGCATAAAATGGGATCTAAAAGATAATTAGAAGTGAACTGAAAGTAAGGAGGTGCGGGGAAGAGCATTCCAGGTTGAGAAAACAGCATGTGCAAAGACCCTGGAGAAAAGGGGAGATGGGTAAGTACAGGGAATAAAAAGATCCAATTTAACCCAAAGGGATATAATGAGGGAACAAGTGGTACAAAATGAAGCTGAGAGATAGGGAGCAGCCAGACCACAAAGGGTTTTGTAGCTACTAAAGAGTTTGCAACAGGAGGATGACATATATTCATTTTGAAAGGATCCTTCTGGCCCTGTGTTTGTGGGATGGTGGCTGAATTAATGAGAGGCTAAGATGATTGATAAAGAGAAGAAATGGTGACAGTTTGGGCTACGATGATGGTAAGAAATAAGTAGAATTGATAGAGATTTATAAGGTAAAATTTACAGACTTAGTAAAGGCTTAAATATGGAAAATGAAAAAGAGGGAAGTGGCCCAGCGCAGTGGCTCACACCTGGAATCTCAACACTGGGAGGCTAAGGCGGGCAGATTACCTAAGGTCAGAAATTCAAGACCAGCCTGGCTAACATGGTGAAACCCCATCTCTACTAAAAATACAAAAATTAGCTGGGTGTGGTGGCACATGCCTATAATCCCAGCTACTCAGGAGGCTGAGGCAGGAGAACTGCTTGAACCCGGGAGGTGGAGGCTGCAGTAGCGGAGATCGAGATCGAGCCACTACACTCTCTGTCTCAAAAGGGAAAAAAAAAAGAAAGAGAGGAAGGTGCCCAAGATAATCTCTAGGTTTCTGCCCTGCCAGGTGACTGCACAATGTAACCATTCATTAATACAGGAATCACCAGAAGTATCTGTCCTGGGGTGGGAATGAGGTGGATTTTGAACCTGTGCAGTTTGAGGGGCCTTTGAAGCATCTAAGAAGAAATGTGAAATAGGCAAGACATCAAAAAAGGGAGCTCAGGAAAGATCTGGGCTGAAGATAGCCTTGATTTCCTCATATAAAATGTGAGTACTTACAACAACTGAAATGAAGATTAAATGAGCAAATACATATAATATGCTTTGCATGACATCTGGTTCTAGTAAATACTCAATAAATAGTAGCTTTCATTATTGATAATGTTGTATCAACTACTGGATAATGTATTAGCTAGCTCTCTTGACTAAATGTGGCCAAAAAACATACTTCTATTTTCAGTATCATATTGAAATCGATTTTCCTTTTCAAGACCCTGCTCCAGTTTCATTAATAATACCTGTTACTTTGTATTCAATTCCATAGAAATCAAATATTTATGGATACTTGACTTGTGGCATTGTATGACAATGAAGGAAAATCCCTGGTTTCAACAAAGCTGAAGTCTGGCTAAACAAGACATATGCTTCACAAATACACACCAATGTACCAGAGATGTCATAAAGCAATATAAGTGATTAGGTTATGTTAATTTTAGAGTGGAGCTGGAATTTGAACCCTAGTATAAATCTCAAGTTCCTACAAAGAACCACAGTAAATTGTCAATAAATGTTGGATGATATGAAGCAAATATTCCTAATGGCAATTCTAAGAAAGCCACTTGAAACTCCTCTCATTAACCAAAATAGTGGCTCTAGTGATCATGACACGAAGAGGTGATAAGACATCTTTATGATAAAGATAGCAAGGATGATGAAAAACATTTTTGGATGACAAGTGCACTGTGTTTAGTAGGTCCACACTCATTTGGGAACATTCTAAATCACAATCAATTGTATTCTACAAATAAACAATACAACTCATGGCTGGTCAACAGCTGTGCCCTATCCAATACAGTGGCCACTATCTACATGTGACTATGCAAATTAAAATTAAATAAAATTCAAAATTCAGTCCTACATCCCTCTAGCCACATGAAATGTTCCATGGCCACGTGTGGCTTGGCTACCTTATGGGATATCACAAAAGAAAACAATTCCATCATGGACAAAGTTCCTTTGGGACTTGGCACTGCTTTCTATCAAATTTAAAACACAAACACTTTTAATACAACTTTTCACCAGCTTGGCAAGTTGAATTTTTAACTTTATAACTTACTAAGAATACATGACCTCACAAAGAAAATGGAATCGGCAGTATGCTGAGTTCTCATTTTTAAAGTCCATTTGCCCAGATAGATTCAACAGTGATTGAGCCTTTCACAAATGTTTTAACTTTATAACTTATTAAGAATACATGATCTCACAAAGAAAATGAAAACGGTAGTAGTTCTCATTTTTAAAGTCCATTTGCTTTGTGCACAGACAGATTCAATAGTGATTGAGCCTTTCACAGATACGTATAAACTAAATAGTGAATGTGGATTCAGGACCTTTTTGTAACTAACATATTTGTCTTTTCACATAATTTATGCAATACTGTAAATTACAAAATCAAGTTCCATTGTCCTTAAACTATGGAACTGGTGCTTTTACTTACTCAACACAACTGAGCATACATGTCTTAGATGTCAGGGTGAGTAAACATGGTTAAGTGAGGCAATGCCCTAGGGTGGGTGTCAGGGAGGGTACTGCACATGTACGCTGTGTTGGTCACATCCATGCAAAATAAGGGTACCTTCATGGCTCTTAAGACACATACAGAAGAAAGTCTGCGGGACGGGGGCTACCTGAACACTAAGTATCCGGGCTGGATGATCTCGGGAAAGGTCCACAGCCACCTGTGGTCCCAGGGGAAGGGGCCAACCCTCTGACACGGAAACACTTCTAGGGGTGGACACACCAGTGGGGGGGCGGGGAGGACAGTGAAGATCAGAAGTGCCCGTAGAGGCAGGAGCTGTGACAGGACAACATCTGAGGCTGGGGCAAGAAGATGGGGCCGTGGACCACCCTGTGCCGAGCCCGAGCCCTCCCCCGGCCCCGGGACAGGCGAGTTACATAACCCCGGCGAGCGTCTCTCAGCGCCGGGCGAGTGGTGCAGGCGGCGAGGACTGCCCCCACGCCCGGGGGCCGCTCTAACCCCCACCTCGGCCGGGGGCCGGAGTCGGGCCAGGGGAGCAGCCACCGCCTCCGCCTGGCACAGGCTGGACTCCCGGGCTCTCAGTTTCCGGCCCTGGCGCTCACACAACCCTAGAAACCAACACACAGACACCATAACAAAGGCGGCGACGCGGCGGCAACACCGGAGTGGAAGGACTAGGGGACCACGGTGGAGTTGGCAGTCAGCCCACCTGCCCAGCGGAGGGCACGGCCGGCCGTCCCGGCCGGTGCAGCCGCGGAGCAGGCGGCGGGCTGGAAGTGGGGGTGCTTTGAGGTGCTACTCACTCTCGTCAGGCAACTGGTCGAGCTCCGCCATCTTGAACGAGCCGCGCCGCTTTTTCAAAGGCTGCCCGCCGCAGTGCATTGTGGGGCGGAGACTGTCTTTGCGAGGGAGGTTCGAATGCGGAGCTCGCTGCCCGCGGCGCCGCGCTGCGTTGCTCCCGCCGCAGCCGGCTGAGGCGGGCCCGGCTCCGCCCGCGCCTGCCGGGGGAGGAGGTGCCGCCGAGGTGGGGCCGCGCCTTTCCCCTCCGCCGCCGCTTCCAGCTGAGCGGGCGGGAGGAAGGAGGCCGCGCGGAGAGGCCCGGCGCCGGAGCGCGGGGGGAGCAGTGGCAGCGCCTGAGTCCCGCCCGGGCCCCGCGCCCATCGCGTGTTCCGCGGCCCGCGCTGCCGCTGCGGGAACTGCAGGCTGTTTGTTCCGAGTGGAGAACGGGAGGGAGGCCCCGGTAGGGGGAAAGAAGCCCTCGGTTCTGGGTCGGATTGCCCTAGGGGGCTCTATACAAAGTGAAATATTCACGGTTCCCGAAACCCGCGTTGCTCGGGCGCCTCCCTCTTCTCGAGAGCTCTGGCCGCAGCAGACCCCTGCGCTTAGTGACCTCCGGGCCCCGCGGTCCCTCGCGAGCCCGGGACGCCTCTCCCGAATGTTGAAAGCTGAGCTGCATGCAGCCGCGGAGCGAGACCTTGAGAGGTCATGAAGTTAGTCATTTAGGGCGACAGCTAAAGAACTGTTCTGCTCGGCTCTTTCATCCATTCCACACTAGATCGTGCAGTGGGCTGGGAGAGAATTAGAAAACGAATAACAGGAGGCTTCGAAAGGATACAGAAAGGAACAGTGACACTACAAGGTGATAAAGTACCTGATCCAAATGTTATGCGAATACCGGACGAGAATTCAACGAAACTGAAAGAAGCCCAAGGAAAAATTTCACAATTTCTGTCTGTAACACTTTCCAGTAATAAAATACTGTTGCTTTTGAAAAATTCATTTAACAAATGTCATTGAGCTCCAATCCTTTTCTCTAGGAACTTATGGGAGTTGGAGGAATGGGAGAGTTAAGCAGTCAAAAGACAACTTGGGTGAATTCCAGGAACTACAAAGTTAAAAGGCAGTAGACTGAGATGACAGAGTGCCACACAGAGGCCCACCCAGGGAAGGAGTTGAACTTGCTTAGTCCACTGGAGCAATGGAAGAGTCAGGTTTTACCTAAAGAGAGGGCATGTTTCTATTTGTGTTTTAGAACAAAAATATGGAAAATGGATTGGTAGGGGACAAGATGAGAGCCTAGAAACCAGTCAGGAGGAAGCTTATTTGGGGCATGCAAAGGACGTGAGAGAGATGCCTGCGCTGGTAGCTAGAGAGGTGCAGAGGGGGCTCTGGAGCCCCACGGCCTCAATGGGAAGAATCCAGATGGGCTGCTAGTTGTATAATCTCAGGTACGTTGGTTTGTAACTGAATTCGCTGTGCCTCTGTTTCTTATCTGTAAAATGCAAGTAATAACAGGATTGTTTTGAGGGCTAAATGATTTGATAGATGTAAGGACCTAATAGCCGCTAGCACCCATCAGCTAGCCACTACCACCATCACCGCAACAGCATAGGCAGTATTAGAGGTGACAGCCTGCACTCCACCTCTCAAGACGTGTAGAAAAGAAAGGATTGGGTGAGTCACTGGGCGTGAGGAGAAGGGAGTAGCATTGCTGTTGCCAGCTTTGTGCCTTAGGTAACTGGGGGCTGCCATGCTAAAGATAGGAGGGAGAGCAGGGAGGGTGAAAGTTCAATTTTACAAAGTAATCCTTCCTTCAGAGCTAGCTTAACCTCTCCTTTGCCTTCTAAACACCCTCTGATCTGCTCTCTAAGAAGATTAAAACCCTGCTCCTTGTCAGCACCTGGGGGGGCTTCAGCAGCTTGCCCTTCACCATCAATTTGGAGATGAGATCAAGAAAAGGTCAGCCCTTTGAGAATGGAAGAATAGAAATTAAAAACATGAAGGTTATCAGAGTGGGAGAAGCAAAAGTTTTGTGAATGTCATGATAGTCAAGGTGTCATCAGACCAGGGCAAACCTGCTTTGATTCTGAGGCAGTTTTCATGTACACACGACAACAGAACTACTGTTTGAATCAATGTTTTTCGGCATGTCCCTGATAATCTGCATTTAAAACGAAGACTCTAAGTGATTCTTCTCATAAATCCAAAGCTGTATCCCAGCCCCAGATCTAGCACTTAGCTGTGTGACTGAAGCCAAGGCACACCTAACTCTTCAGTAAGGTGTTTTGTTGTTTGTTTCTGAGACAGAGTGTTGCTCTTGTTGCCCAGGCTGGAGTGCAATGGCATGAGCTTGACTCACTGCAACCTCCACCTCCCAGGTTCAAGCGATTCTCCTCCCTCAGCCTCCTGAGTAGCTGGGATTACAGGCATGTGCACACCCGGCTAATTTTGTGTTTTTAGTAGAGATGGGGTTTCTCCATGTTGGTCAGGCTGGTCTTGAACTCCTGACTTTAGGTGACCTGCCCACCTCGGCCTTCCAAAGTGTTGGGATTACAGGCAAGAGCCACCGTGCCCAGCTTCAGTAAAGTTTTTTGTTGAATATTTATGAGAGGTTTTATAATGATTGGCTTACTTGATTCTCCCAACAACTTGGTAATTTGTCCAAAGACAATGGCAAGCAAGTACAAGAATCAGGAATCTAGCCCACTTTTCTCTGCCTCAGTGACTCCCTCTGTGATGGGAGGATTACACGTATATCTGTGTCCGTTTGTGCTGCTATAACAAAACATCCGAGACTGGGTAATTTATAGACAACAATAATTTTTTTTTTTTTTTTAGATAGAGTTTTACCCTTGTCATCTTGGCTGGAGTGCAATGGTGTGATCTCAGCTCACTGAAACCTCTGCCTCCTGGGTTCAAGCAACTCTCCTGCCTCTGCCTCCCGAATAGCTGGGAATACAGGTGTCCGCCACCACTCCTGGCTAATTTTTGTATTATTAGTAGAGACTAGGTTTCACCATGTTGGCCAGCTGGTCTTGAACTCCTGACCTCAAGTGATCTGCCTGCCTCAGCCTCTCAAAGTGCTGGAATTATAGGCATGAGCCACCGTGCCCAGCCGACAAGAAGAATGTATTTCTCACAGTTTCAAAAGTTGGGAAGTCCAAGATCAAGGTGCCAACATTGGTGTCTGGTGAAGACAGCTCTGTTTCTAAAATGGTGCCTAGTTGTGCATCCTCTGGAGGGGATGCATGCTGTGTCCTCACATGGTAGAAGGGACAGAAAGGCAGGAGAACACTTCTTTCAACATTGAGCCCTTTTATAAGGGTACTAACCCCATTCATGAGAACAGAACCCTCATCACTTAATCACCTCTCAGAGGCCACAGCTCTTAATACTGTTGCATTGGGGATTATGTTACAACTGAATTTTGGAGGGGATACTATCATTCAAACCATAGCAACATGCAACAAAGGGGTATTAAATTTCCTGCAATCACTTATTCCACTTTAAAATGACATGATTGTGTGTGTGTTGTTCTCTTTTTTAAAGAAACAAACTACAGTATGGATAAGGTCATTAAGTCATGAAAAACCTGAACAAAAATACACCACAAGAGGGCCGGGCGCGGTGGCTCAAGCCTGTAATCCCAGCACTTTGGGAGGCCGAGGCGGGTGGATCACGAGGTCAACAGATCGAGACCATCCTGGTCAACATGGTGAAACCCTGTCTCTACTAAAAATACAAGAAATTAGCTGGGCATGGTGGCACGTGCCTGTAATCCCAGCTACTAAGGAGGCTGAGGCAGGAGAATTGCCTGAACCCAGGAGGCGGAGGTTGCGGTGAGCCGAAATCGCGCCATTGCACTCCAGCCTGGGTAACAAGAGCGAAACTCCGTCTCAAAAAAAAAAAAAAAAAAAATACACCACAAGAAACATCTCAAGTATCTCATAAATATATATTCCTACTATGTACCCACAAAATTTTTTTAAATAAAAATTATTAAAAATGGCCGGGCGCGGTGGCTCAAGCCTGTAATCCCAGCACTGTGGGAGGCCGAGGCGGGTGGATCACGAGGTCAAGAGATCGAGACCATCCTGGTCAACATGGTGAAACCCCGTCTCTACTAAAAATACAAAAAATTAGCTGGGCATGGTGGCGCGTTCCTGTAATCCCAGCGACTCAGGAGGCTGGGGCAGGAGAATTGCCTGAACCCAGGAGGCGGAGGTTGCGGTGAGCCGAAATCGCGCCATTGCACTCCAGCCTGGGTAACAAGGGCGAAACCAGAAACAAAAAAAAAAAAAAAAAAAAATTATTAAAAATACCATAAGAAAAATAAACATGGCAACATTTTAGAAATATCGCGTTTGACCATTTCTAGTCCTGTGGCCTATTTATCAATTATTGGGTTGGATTATTTTTGTGAAAACAGTTGCAATGACTAAAGATAAAATGTGTGTTGGGGGAGCCTGGCACAGTGTCTCACACCTATAATCCCAGCACTTTGGGAGACTGAGGCGATTAGATTACTTGAGCACCTGAGACCAGGAGTTCGAGACCAGCCTGACCAACATGGTGAGACCCCATCTCTACTAAAGATACAAAATTAGCTGGGCATGGTGGCTTGTGCCTGCAATCCCAGCTACTCAGGAGGCTGAGGCAGAATTGCTTGAACCCAGGAGACGGAGATATTGTAGTGAGCTGAGATCCTGAGATCATGCCACTGTACTCCAGCCTGGACAACAGAGTGGGACTCCATCTCAAAAAAAAAGAAAAAAGAAAAGAAGGAAGGAAGGAAGGAAGCAAGGAAAGAAACAGAACTATTTCTGTGTATAATATGTGCGTGAATGTTTTTATAAATACTTCTGATAAACTTGGGAATTTGAGTTAATAATGAATAAACAAAGGCAATACAGCTTGCCTTGCTTGAGACTCTCAGCCATAATGAGGTAAAAAGGCACTTCAGCCTATAAATATATATATATATATTTTTTTAACTTATGTTGCTGGTAGGACTCCAGACTCAGCACTTCCTCTTACAGCATCCAAGTAACCAGGAGAAGTGATGGCCCCGGGATCTAGGTTCAAATTACAGTTCACCTGCTTCCCTTGTGTGTATTCTTGAACAAAAGACTCTCAGTAGTAGCTTTTAGTTTTCTTCTCCCTTTCTTGAAGGGCTAGTATGAAGATTAAATGATATAAATTAAGTGCCTATCAAGATCTCCAGCGACTATTGTTATCCTTCTTTGATGAGAACTCCTCTTTTACAACACAAATATTCTCAGAAATGAGCCCAGTGGCCATCTTGGTAATGCCCTTCAGAATTCTCT